TATATCTTTGATATTTTTTCTATTTTTCTAAACTTGGTTACTTAATTTTATTTGTATTCAATCACATTATTTCATAGATTTATATCATAATCCGCGCTAATTTTATTATATCGAATAATCATAATGCAATATTTAAAGTAAAGTAGAACTAGGTCTGTAGCTGATAACAACATATGTGTTGTTTCCAGGAAAACGCGTTCCTTTTTTTTTTTTTTTTTTTCCTATCACTATTTCAACACTTCTTTTAGTTTATCAAAGATAATAGACCGATATTCAATATACCGCGGACCATAATATTCTTATATTTAAATACCTAACGACATGTGATAACAATCCCATAACAACTGCTGTTCCTAAGTGGATAATAATGTATCTCGAAAACAGCTTTGGGGCATGATTGGGCATGGTCCAATGTGTTCTATGTGAACCTCCAGAGTTTGGTGTCATTAAAACCTGATCTATTCCGTCACAATTTGACAACTAGATACCGTCAGAGCTTGATATTTATTAAATTTTTAATAAGAATTTAAAGAACACAATTTAGGACTGGTCAAAATCCATTACTCAGAAACGGATTTATACATCCATTTTTTTTGTATTAATGGCAATCGAAGTACAGCATGTATATCACTTCTCGGCCTCATTACTAGGCCATATTCTCTTCATTTTCTCAACCATCTCTCTCTTTCGCTCATCTGTCCATTTTCTCCCTATCTCTTCTTCTTTTCTACTGCAAGGACTTAATATATTTTTCGATTTTTTCTCTATCATGACATTCTTTTTTTATTATATCAATCCTTGATATTTCATCTTTTACTTAACTGAGGTATCCTCCAATGTTTCTTAGTCCCGTTACTTATCATTCATTCTTTTCACATATTCGAAAATCTCCATCCTGTCCGAAAATCCTTATTGCTGTCCCTAAGTCTTCAGTTCCTTCATACAGCTATTTGTTTTTTGTTTTTTAGGTAAATATTATTCTTCTTTTCTTGCTCCCTGGATATGATACGTCTTAATAATAAATAATAATAATAAGGCTTAGCGAACCCGAAGGTTCGATGCCGACACCACCAATCGCTTGTTACACACCTCCCTCCACCGTTCGCCGTCCAAACCCAGTCCCTTCAGATCAGCTTTAATGCAATCTTCCCACCTTCGCTTCGGTCTACCCCTCCGACGCTTACCATTCGGCACAGCAAATATTAACCTTTTAGGAATTCTCTCGTTACTAAGCCCAACAACTTTACAAGCCCATTTGATTCGCCGCGATGAAATTACCTCAATTATATTACACGGATATAGCTCATGCAATTCGGCGTTGTGTAACCGTCTGAACTCTCCGGTTAACTCATCCTTCTTCGGTCCGAATATTCTACGCAATACTTTATTTTCAAAAACCTTAAGACGCTGCTCATCCCTTAATGTAAGCGGCCAAGTTTCGCATCCATAAAGCACTGTAGGCAAGATAATTGTTTTATAGATTCTAAATTTTAAGTTTCGGGACAAGAGGCGCGAACTGAGTAGTTTTGTCACAGAAAAATAACAAGCATTCCCCGCCTTCAGTCTAACTTTAATCTCTTCTTCAATTTCGTTTTTTCTAGTTATCGTAGAACCTAGATACCTAAATTTATCTACCTGTTCAAACATATTACCATCTATATCGATATCACCAGTAGTATCGCCATTTTTGCAGCTAACCATATATTTTGTTTTATCCACGTTTATTTCGAGTCCTAGTTCTTTACCGGCTTTCATTAACGTTGTCGTATTTAGTTTTATAGTTTCAACGTCTTCGCTTAACAGTACCAGATCATCAGCATAGCCCAGCACGGATGTTGTCCCGCCCAGATCCAACCCTTTCTCGGTACGCATTACCTCCCTAATGGCATGTTCTAATGCCAAATTGAACAGGACAGGCGAAAGAGAATCCCCCTGTTTTAAGCCCGAACGAACCTCAAATTTTTCGGACAAATTATTACCGATTCTAACTTTATTGAGTGTCTCCGTCAAGCACATCCTGACTAGATTTACTAGTTTTTTTGGAATTCCCTGCTCGATTAGAATATTATACAGTTTCTGGCGGTCAATAGAATCGTAAGCCTTTTTAAAATCTATATACAGCTGGTGAACAATACCGTTATACTCCAATTTTTTCTCTAATATTTGCCGTAAAGAAAATATTTGATCAATAGTCGAACGATTCCGTCTAAATCCGCATTGGTAGTCTCCGATAATTTCCTCGGCGTATTCCGTGATTCGACTGGTTAAGATTACAGTGAATATTTTATAACATACCGGAAGGAGTGAAATTCCTCGATAGTTATTACAATCCGTCCTCGGACCCTTTTTGTGAATCGGAATAAGAATAGATTCTTTCCATTCTTCAGGTAATTTCTCGTTCACCCAGATCTTTTCAACCAAGCGATGTATTTTAGAAACTCCAGCTTCCCCGCATGCCTTAATTAGTTCAGTAGGAATATTATCGATTCCCGCTGCTTTATATGATTTTAATTTACCGATAGCTACTTCAACTTCCTCTTTACTTGGTCCTTCTATCAACGGTTCAGCACTCTGGTACTCAGAAGGAGGACACAGATCATAATTTCCCGTATTTAAAATATTGTCAAAGTGGTCCTTAAACTTATTCAATATGTCAACCGGATCGGTCAGAATATTGTTATTATCATCCCTAATTCCAGACGTTACGGGCCCTACATATTTACGTGATCTGTTTATACCTTTGTACATGTCTCTTACGTTATTTTCGATTCTATTAGTTTCTATTTCAATTATTTTATTTTTGAGATACTCCCTTTTTTTATTTTTGAGCAATTTTGTCGTTTCGTTCTTTGAGATTCGGAAGTATTCCAGATTGTCTTCGCTAGGATTATTTAGAGCTTTTAATTTAGCGGCTTTCCTTTTTTCGCACATGTTTAAGCAATCTTCATCAAACCACGGTTTGTTATTCTTATTTTCCTTTTTTCCTAGACACGAGTTACCGACCGCTTTAATATTATCCCTGATCTCTACCCATAACTTGTCAATATCCTCGTGGTCCTCGTCAGGAAGCTCTAAAGCTTCAAACCTATTCTTAACATCTATCTCGAATTGGTTTCTAATTGATGGATTTTTTAATTTTTCCAAATTAAAGTTCTCAAAATCGAAACGGTTTTCTTTTCTCTTTTTTATATTAAGTTTTTGTCGAAGTTTCGCGATTACTAATTCATGATCCGACCCACATTCTGCTCCGCGATAAGACCGTACATTGATTATACTACTTTGCCAGCTGTGTTGTATCAAGACATGATCGATTTGATTTCGTGTTTGCGAATCCGGCGATGTCCAAGTATATTTATGAATATCCTTACGTTTGAACGTCGTACTTTTAATTACCAGGTTTTTCGAGATGGCAAAGTTTATCAGACGGATCCCATTATCATTACTATATTCGTGCAAACTTTCTTTACCAATCGTCTGAATATAAACTTCTTCCCTTCCTACCTTTGCGTTCGCGTCACCTACAATTATTTTCATGTAGTTTCGCGGTAGTTTATCATAAACCCATTCGAGTTTATCGTAAAATTCACTTTTGACTTCATCGTCACTGTCTTCGGTCGGACAATGTATGTTTATTAATGCGATTTTAAACCAACGTCCCTGAAATGTAGCTACCGAAATTCTATCACTAAAGAATTGTACGTCCCTCAAAGCGGATAGTAATCTACTCCTAATTAGAAACCCGGTACCTAAACAATGATTCCCGCTTCCTCCGTACCAAATAGTGTACTTTCCTTCCCTCATCGAGCCCTCCCCTGGCCAGCGAACCTCTTGCAGAGCCACGACATCCAAATTGTACCCATTTACCTCATTCGCGACCGATTTTAGCCCCCCTGCTGTGTTTAAACTCCTTACGTTCCACGTACCAATATTTAAATCCCTATATTTCAACTTGCGGCATGAATCCCCTAAAGCAGTCCCCACCCGGAGACCCGAACGGGGGACTAGTTTACCTCCGGATAATGAGCGTTTTACCTTAGGGAGATCCATGACTTTTTGTGGTGTTTGGTGAACTAAAGATATGTGAGTAGGGCGTTCAATCCTACGTCACACCCTCCAGCAAGTCTGGTGGGCCCCTACCTCCAGCAAGTCTGGAGGTCCCCTCCCTCCAGCAAGTCTGGAGGGCCCCTCTCATTGTTGGTCAGCGAGTCCATCGGACTTAGCCGGGAGGAACTTCCAAGGAATTTCCACCGACCATCCCCACATCCGCCACCCGTGGGACGCTCCCCATACGCGGTAATGAGCCCGCGCGAGGATACGTCTTAGGATTTTTTTTTCTAATTTTATTAGTTTTTCCAAACTAGTAAACCACATTGTTCCCATGGCGATTTAAGTTTTTTTTCTTTTTATTATAAACATTCTTTTCAAATATTCGAATCTCTTCAATTTTAATTCCCCACTTTTAAGCACCTGAGTGTCCCCCACGTTATATATAATATAATATTATTTATATAATTCACGATTTCTTTTAAGTATTTAAACTGCTTGACCGTTTTGGCTATCCCATATTTTTTCTCTTCTCTCTCTGATATTGTCCATCATTTCGTTTTTTTTTTCAAAAGATATTTTCAGTCCCGCTTTTTTCGCGAATCTGTTTAAGTATAAATGGTATGTTTTTATAATTTATTTTTTCTAATTATTATTTTAAGTAGTAGGCTTAATATTTATACACGTAGAGAACAATTGGTGACTACTTATTTAATTAGTTTATCTTCAACTCATAATTAATTAGCTTAATTATTTCCAACTTAATATCTAAAAATATACATTACTACCTCTTTCAATTCCTTCAATTTAGCCTACTTCTTCTTGCTCGCTTTCATCCAGTAAGGCTAAGTCTTCCGCAAACACTGATTAAATCCATTAAAAGAATTTCTAGAGATGCTAATTAATTTATCCAAATATGCCATATTTTATTCATACTTAACCTAGATTGTTTTGATATGATCAGATGTTGAAAAAAATTAAAAACATAAACTTTGGACGTTGAAGTCCAAATAACACGGTACAAGTAACACGAACAACAGAATGGAACAATACACATGGAGGGTCAGAATGTAGAGCTTAAATCTATTAAAGCTTCTGGGAGGTGTTTTCCTGAATGGTGGAATTGGGAGATTAATTGATCGCTTTTAGTTGCAAAAGTCTATAAAAGTCAGGCAAGGTAAGGTTATTTGAACTATTAAATTTCAAAATTCAAAGTAGCCTAGGAAGTCGATTAAGCAACAATACAAAGAAACACAAATTGTTATTAATCCAATTTTATTAGTGCACATAGTGTTTTAATAAAATGGGACGCAATGGCTTGCTTCAGAATCCTTACGGAACACGGCTATTTACTTGCTCATTTAAGTAAAATAGGATAAAACGTGCTCTTTCTGAAACGATGGTGAACGGGGGGGGGGGGAAGGGTTCAACAGGGCAACTATCTTGCCACGAAAGAAATAATAAGGAAAAGTAACCGGGACAATCTTTGTACAAGGAGATCGAACCATTAAGGAGCTGCTCCTCAGACCTTTAATAAGCCTCTATAACAATATAAAAAAAGAAAATATTTTTACTCAAGAGGTATCTGTTCGAATCCAGCATTTGGGGGTTAATTTATATGATTTTAGCGCTTCTCCTCAGCCTCTACTGGTCCTTAATACCAGCAATGCTGCTGAGTGCGAGGCGCTGGGATCTCCTAGAGTCCTGCCTTTCCTTCCACGAATGGGGAGAAAGGCTTGGCTCGGAGTTCTCCTGAGTGAATGGATTCTGTAAATATTGTATAGTATGCATGTGTTTTAGTTGTTATTTTGATTAGTTTAGTTCTTTTGCTTATATACATTTATTTTTATTATTGAAGAGAAGAATATTTGGGGTGGTCAGTCAAAAATGAAGGCAAAAATAAATGTTAATATTTATTTTTACATATGCCGACGTTTCGACCTGAAGTTCAGGCCTTCATCAGGGCTAAGAAAATAACCAGATAACAAGGTATGAGAAACATAAGTAGTGATGGTAAAAAAAAATTAATAAAAAAATAAAATAAATAAATATAAAGTAAAATGAAATTGTTAGAATAATGACTAAGAACTAAGAGATAAATAATAATAACCGTTACTATTCTTATTATTATTGTTATTCTTCTTGTTATTATTCTTCTCTTCATTATCCACGACAGTCAACCAATTGCCAATTATTTTTATTATTATTAGTTTCTGTATTATTCATTTTTATTTATTGTGAATAGAGTGTGAATGTGCTCTCAGAACACTATTATAAATGTTAGATCATAATATTTCTGAATACATAAAAAAAAAAAAATTCTATTACGTGGCCAAATTAATAAAATAAAATCCAAATAAATCTCTAGCTCAATGCTCTAGAATATGTTTATTATTTCGAGGGTGGCTTAGCCTCTAGTTGCATGGTAAACTTAACTAACAATTTTACAGTAGAACAACTCTTCTTTATTATTATAATGGATAAATAACTTAAAATTTTGTTTTTCCAGACTACATAAAATCACAGCGATTGAAACTCGCAAAAAGGACAGGAAGCATCAGACAGAAGTGTAAAACTGGTTTAAGTAAAAATGGTATGTAGTTATAATTTATTATTTTTTCTAATTATTATTGTACGTAGAAGGCTTACTAAGTCCGTAGTACACACTCCTTTTTATCGAATTATTAACATCCACCTGAATCTCGTAAATAGCTTCATATCATCGTAACCTATAACTATTTTATTTACGAAAACTCATGGAATTGGGGCGTTTTCAATCCAGAGGTTGACAAACTTTGTCTATTTAACTATATACTAAAAACTCGTAAATACCCATTTTCTTTCTATTTGGATCGTAAGATAATTTTATCACAAAATTGATAAAATTAAGTGGCCTTAAAAAATATTGAGCCGTTTGGCGTGGCCTATACCTCCAATTTTTCAAAATAACGCGGTTATATTGGACAAACGGCCCAATATTTTAGTAGGCCACCTTTTTTTATCTATATTGTTATCAAATTACCTTACGATACAAGTAGAAAGTAAATGGGTATTTACGAGTTTTTATTAACTAATTAAATAGACAAATTTTGCCCCTCTCCACATTGAAAACGCCCCGATTCCAAGAGTTTTCGTAAATAATATAGTTGTAGGTTACGATGAGATAAAGCTATCTACGGAGTTTCAGGTGGATGTTAATAATTGTTTAAACGGATTATACGCTTTATAAAAATAAAATACTCATAATTAATAAGCTTAATTGTTTTTAGTTTAATATCTAAAAATAAGCGTTGCTACCTGTGCTTCTATTTAAAATGAATAAACCGATAAAACTGATGATACTTATTCTTGTTTATCCATTTCATAGAATGAGTGTATATGCCGTCATTTCTACTCCCCTACATACAACAGAGAGATCTTGACGAGAACAGATCACATGAACCTCTTAGCAACTCCTAAAGGATATAGGTATGTATCATATGTTTAACATAATTTTTAAACTATATTTTTATCATTTATGGATGTAAATTGTATAAATAACAATATGACCCATATCATTTACGGACCTCCCATCCGAGTAATTAGCTTCCCATCCTTTTAGCTAGAAATTGGTAATGAATACATATTTGATTTTCAATATAGGTGTATAGGTGTCTATTCTATATTCTATTATTTTTTTAAAGGCTGATATATATATATATATATATATATATATATATATATATATATATATATATGCAGTATAATCGGTTTTTCAACTATCTTTTTGTGAAAAAGGATTTTGTGAAACGAGATATCAAAAGATTATTATTTTCTTTAAATTTGACAAACTTAAAAATAAACAATTTTTTAAAATATGGAAAAAAAAATGTAGCCGACTATTCTATTCCTAAATGCGATATCTTTAAATCGGAAGACATTATTAAGTATACCAAAAGTAATGGACTGTATCTTTGTTAATAAATGTCCGATTTTTACGATATTTTTTTTGTTTTGTAGGTAATTTAGTAATCTTTCTATTTATCATATAGGGTATAATCAAGAAAAAATACATACTTTTTGAACTATTCGCGAATAAAGTTTATTTTCCTTTATAACTTTTTTCATAGAAATTTCGGGGAGATAGGACAATTTTTCGCATAAGAAGGAGAAGAATATCTTCAAAATGAGCGGTCAATCATTGGATTTGATGAAGAATTGACGAAATTATGGCATACCGACAAAAAAACGCCTTTCAGAAAACATATACAGGGTATTACCATATTTAGTACAGCTTAATTTTCATACCTCACATTCTGCTAGCAATGAAAAACACTCAGGGCAAAAATAATAACATATTTAATGTTTACACGATTTTGCCCGATAATTTAATGACGAATGTTCAGTGAAAGATATTATGATTGACAAAAAATTAGCTAGAAGTTTTTTTTTTGTTTTAATTTAATTATATTAATTCTTCGATCACATTCACGGTTATTTATAAATAATATTTCTTTCATCTACCCCTGATTCGAATAGGAATTCATTAAGCTGATTACGTTTTTGGAAGGAGCCGTAGGTAAGAGCAAGACGTCTTATATAACTTAGCTTTGTCTTCTTGAAGATAAGCCTTGCAAGCACTTCATGTGTTTCTTAAGTCAATAAAACGCCTATTGGTGCCACGATACCATCTGCTGCTATTTCTAAACCGTTGTGAATATATTGAAAAAAAAAATACAACACTCCCCCAACTAGACCTTAATTTAAAAATAAATTTTTTACGATAATTTATTCTTTGTAGATGGTACGGACCGGGTGGAGAGATACAAATAAAATCACGAGCATTTCGAGGAAGGAGTATAAGAAAAAAAGAAAAAGAAAAAGAAGAACCAGAGATTGAAGCTTTTCCTGGGATGGCACAATTTATGAACGAAGTGTGGACCCTCATAACGCCGGACATCCTTCTTTCGTAAGATTATTTTAACAAATAATTAATTTATTATCCATTCATTTAATATTTTCCAGATTGACTAATTAGTTGAACAGGTGTATATTAAGCATTCTGAATAAGTGTCGAAAATTGGAGTCTGTGACAAAATAAGAAATAATAATTCTGTAATTATAAAATAATAAATACATAATCATTATATGAACTATACAGGGTATCTCAGTTCTTAATGGCCAACCTCTGGGGGACGATTCTGCACAAAATTTTCAAAAAAAAATAAAGAAAATTAAAGACTAATTTTGGGTTTTTCTTAAGGAGGTCAGGTTTTTGTAATTAAACAAAAAATAATTGCTCAGAAACTGTTGAAGGTAATTAAAGTCTAAGTACACTATCGTAAAGTGAACAAATTTTCTTTTAGAAACCAGTGATTAAATTTACTAAAAATGATAAAAGAGACTTTTCGGAGGGCAAATAACGCGACGCTTACCATTATGCCGAATTATCTCACGAATCGGGATTACAGAGAAATGCTGTTCGGGTATGAGCACTGTAATTTCAATAATACAACGGCCGTATTCCTGAACTCCTGAAAGTTTCTTTTATCATTGATCTTTGTAAATTTAATCACTGTTTTCTCAACAAAAAAAAATGCCTACTTTACATTAGTGTATTTTAATTTAATTATCTTAAACAGTTTTTGAGCAACTTCTCCTTATTCAATAAAAACTGTGACCAATTTTTAAAAAAATACGAAATCGGTCCTAATTCCTTTTCGTTCGGAATCGGCCCATGTATCTTATGAAATTTTTTGTTGAAAATTTTGTCTAGAATAACCCTCCAGAGTTAAACCATTAAGAACTGAGACACCGTGTATATTAAATAGTTTTTCACCCAATAGCAATGAAACTTACAACTAGTGTTGCCCAAATGCGAGACCGAGACGTGTCTTGGTCTTGCAAACTCAGTCTTGGTCTTGCGCAAGACTCTCGTAACAGTCATGCAGTTACCTATTAGCTTATTACTAGAGAGATATTACTGTAATTTTTTAGATAGGAGAAACCTAAGTAAATGAAAAATTAGAAGTGTTAAATTCAAGAATATATTGGTTACACCAATTCTTTACATACAGTTACTAAAATTTTCAAGTATTAATAACTATTTTGCATCAATTTTTTATTCAAATAATCAACTTTTTTTCCTACTATTGGTCTTGGTATATGGTGGATAGGCGATGCTGGTCTCAGTCTTGTAAACTGCAAGATCAAGACCGATTTTGTGCAACACTAATGACAACATGTGGGTTGACACATAATAAGTTAAAAATAGACATGAAGATTGTGAAACTGGTTATTATGAGAAGATATATGTATGTCACATAAGAAGTATAATGGACAAGTATATGATTGACTTGAAAATTACTCGACGGACCGAAATAACATTTTGCAGTGAAAACATTGGTGTAAGTTGGCTTAAAATAAATAAATTAGAAACTAAATATGATACACCATAATCGAAGAAAAGTGTACTAAAAAAAGATTTTGTCTACTTTACGATAGTGTACTTTAATTTAATTATCTTGAACAGTTTTTGAGCAACCTCTTCTTATTCAATAAAAACCGTGAAAATCTTAAAAAAAAAAAAAATACAGAATTGATCCTAATTCCTTCCCAAACTTCCTATTATTTCCTATTATTTCCTAATAATTCCTAAACTGAGACACCCTGTATATTAAATAGTTTATAATGTTATTACTTGTATGTTCTATGAAGAAAAGAATAAAGTAACTAATTGTATTATGCCACATAATACAAAATGGGTTGTAGAAACATTTAACCAAGAAAAGGTATAACTTAGTGAATTGGTGTAATTCAAAACCTGTTCAATCTGAGGTATGAGGAATTTCTCTTCTAACTGGAAGAATACTCTACCATTCCCGCTTTCAAAAACCGCTAAGATTTGGATAAGATAAGGAACGACTTGTTACTTCACTTGCAGATTTGAAACCAGGAAAAGCATTTAGAAGACGTATATTTGGGATAAGGAACGTAGCAGTATGGCGATCAGCGCACATTTTGGAAGATTGTCGAAAAAGCCAAAAGAACATCAAATTCAATTTGACTTCGATAGAATAATAGATGATTGACTTTTAAGAGTACTACGGCGAAGAAATGAGAAAACAACAGGCATTCTTACCGCTCTCCTGGGTAAAGGACATGAAACTAATTGCATGGGTGTGTCATTTAAACAAGTGAGAAATCCTGCGGTGGATATCCTGAGGATGCTGTACATCAGCGTATCTACGAAACCACATAATACAAAGTGTATTATTAATACAATTACTAAGAAAAGGAATAATACACTAGATCTATTTGTATAATTTCTTTTAAAGGCTAATAGTTTCTCACTAAGTGGAACACTGTTTTTCCCGCTTTTTAAACAGGCAAAGAGTAGAAATGGCCCATGCCTCTATTCACCCCTTTAGCTTTCTGTCTCACATTAATAATTTTTTTAGAAAAGAAATCCTTAGCTCTATTCATAATATCAAATGATTCCATAAAAAAAACTGGATTTCATACAATTAAGTAGTGAACTCTGTATAGCCCTGGATAGAAATGAACAGCCTGTATCTCAGTACTGTTTTGATCTATACAGGAATAATTGTTGAGACAAAGTTGCAAAGTGCAACAAAATGCAGTCACAAGCTTAACAATTTCGGTTCAAGTTGCGTAATTGATTTCTCAATTACTTGCTTGCTATCTCCAATGATTATTTAAAATAGTAGACCCGTGCGAAAAATTCGCACAGCATATTGTTACCAAATGCCAAATCAATAAGAAAATGCAACTTATCAAAAGATTAAGACATCAAATGTTACTTTATCGATAAATATAATCCACAAAGCAAACAAAAATTAATTTAAATCTTCATTTTTGTTTGGAACCAACATGTATACAAATTTCAGTAACCTCTATATTTGATAAAAATTGTCCAATTGCGATGATTTTTTTTCCTTTTGTAGGGAATTTAGTAATGTTTTATATAATTATGGGCATAACCAAGGGAAAAGAGTGTAATTTTTCAGTTATTCGCAAATAAAGTTTATTTTCTTTCATAACTTGTTTGCCTGAATTTTCTGGGTGATTGGACTATTTTGCCAGCCTGAAGGAGAAGGAATCCTTCGAAATTGGTGGCTCAATCTTGAAATTTGGTGAAAAATTAACGATGCCGATCAAAAACACCATAAATGAATAATATAAACTCCCCCTCTCTCGACCATAGAGACCTCAAGTCGACGAAATGAGACATGTATTCAATGTCAGTACTACAATTAATGTAAGGTTGTGTGGATGCGAACCCTATGCCTTGCGTTATCTCGAATATAGTACGTTTTTCGGCTTAAAAACGCAGGATCCGATAGTTCCGAAGGAACTATCCGGGTCTTGCTGTACGCATCAAAATCTTTAAGATCCAATTTGTCCCGTATCGATCTACAGACCTTCCAGTATCGAAGCCTAGCAAAATGTTTGTATCGACTTTATTTATTTTAGAAAGAAAAACAAAAGTGGAGAATACGATTCGCTAACCCCCCGTGAAATTCTGAATCCAACGGTACCCCATTCGTGTTATTTGAGCATGACAGGAGCTTATATTTGGTACAAAACCGATTTCGAGCCTTACTGTAATAATATATGTACGGATACGGATAATATATGTATGGATAAGAAAAAAAATCAATTTTCATTTTAAGAAAATGCATTTATATCTCCAAAAACACCACAAAATTAATTTGAAGATTATCAAAAATATTATTCCAATGCTAAAGTAAATATAAGTGACTTTAAATGATATATAAATGATTTAAATTTTATAAAATCAGTTTATATATGGATATAAAGACTTTTGTTAATATTCTATCTAATTCCATCTCAACGATCATTTTATATTTTTATAAATAAACAAATAGACTCGTAGATTTTATCTTAAGAACGAAATAAGATTAGAATAAAATGTTTTATGTTGATTTATGTGAATAAGATCTAGAATTTTGGTGAAAAAACAAAACAACTTTTTTCTTTTAGTAATTTGAAATGTCACGAGTTCTAATAGTATTATATTTCATATTTATGTGAAAGTTTCTCTTGGAACAGCAACTGTTTTTGTCATAATAATATTATTATAACTAAAAATTCGCATTTTTTTACTAAATATGGATTGCAAATGCCTTGCATCTTCCTACGGTTTTCACAGGTTCATAAGACCCGCCTTGACCTCAACCTACATATCTACTTCTTATGACCAAGACGTTAAAAGTAACATAACATTATTGTGACCGGGCACAGGGCTGCATCGCCGCAGACGTGACCTACGCCGGCGAACACTTAGCAGAGTCGGTTTCTCTCCCTAGATCCCTTCGGGCCACGACACGAAGGAGAAAGCTGATGAGTTTTTAAAAAAACAAAAGGCCTTCGCACTTCTGCCTCCGGTTCCGCCAAAGAAGAAACTTTTGTATAGTTTAATCTGATCAATTCAACTCTAAATCACTCTATCTTTTAAGTAAAATTTTACTGCCAAAAAGCTCTCAGCATTTAAAGAATTATGGTAGTGATAAAAATTATGATATTCATTACTTTATCTGGTAGAGTATATGAGTCGGTTTGGTATGAGTGATAAATTATCTGATAAAACATATGCGCCTACCGGAGTCTAGAGAAATCGATAAGGTTAACCTTTGAACTCTTCAAGTTTAGGATCCTGCGTAACATAAGATTAAATTAATAAACAAGGTAAAATTTGTTATTTTAGTCTTAATGGCCATTTATAATCCATATCCGATGAATGGCCATAAAACTAAATCTTAAATAATAATAATCTAAATTAAGAATTAATGGTACAATAAGCTTGTCTTTCTGGTTTTGAAGAGAAAGATATCCTCTTTTTTCTATATTCTAGCTTTCTAAGCCTAGATGGTTATTTGGAGAACAAACTACGAACTCAAAGCGAAATTTGCCTCCAATAAAGACAGCCCTGCCTAATGTCGCGTAAAGGTTCATATTCTAAATGTTAAAATAAACGTATTGTTTACTTAAGCATCACCAGGGATTTTAATAACAGTTATGTTTTATAAAATAACAGATATTATTTAGAAATCATATGTTATAAAAGAATAAATGTTTTTGAAAATTAATATTAAACAATAGATAAACACAAAATAGGTTAAATTTGAGAATATCAGGTATTTAAATATTTAACGATATAAATTTTCAGGTGGCCAAAACTTTATCATTGCCTGTAATATTTTTTCAAATAAAACTTTATTTAAAATTATTTATATGATATTTACAACTGTATAAAAAAAAAATACATATAGTCAATTCGTACATAAATATAATGACATGAAACACTACCCATTGAGAAACTACCCATTGGTAGCACTCTAATAATATGTCTATATTAGGAGATCACGGGCCCATCTTCTTTTCAAACATCTCGGAGGGTTGTCAGGAATTGAATGGGAAGCAAGGTTAGAAACAAGAGGGTGTGATGGTAGTGAAGTTTACGATGGAAGGATTGATATCTGGATTGGGCCAAATCTGAAGCATAGGAACATTAAGGTCATTGTGGATGATTTTGTTTGTAACAAAGTAAGGAGCATTGAGGATTTTATGAAGGATTTTGGATTGTAAGGGTTGGATACGAGAGGAATTTGAAGGTTTGGTGGAGCTCCATAGCTCAACTCCGTAAATAAAACTAAACCTTTAAATATTCTTACCTAAACAAACTAACAAATATATCACTCAAGCCTACATCCTCTTAATTTTAAGAAGTCTATTTTTTTTTTTAAATTTCACAATCTCGATAAAACACTACGTTTATGTTTTAGGCTATAACCTTATTGGTACAATCGTAATAATTTGTTAAATCATGTGTATTTCACAAACCAGTAATAGTTATTAATAACTAAGAAAAAGTAACTGGCGATACCAAAGTAAAGATCCAAAAGTAACAGTTTGTTGAAGTATATATGTGTCATTAATAAATATATGTTCTTATTATTAATTTACATCGTTTCATAATCGTTGATATCTTTATTTGCAGCTTGAGAGAGATATTGATGGATGAGTTCGGTATGAGTGAACGCTCGGCGGTACTATTCCTGATGAAGCAATATATCAAGACTCAGCGTGAAGCTGATAGAGAATGCTATCCTTGTTCTTCTCCCACTGAGGAGCAGCTCGAATGGGCTAGGAATATCGCCAGGACCATAGCTTCCAAAGTAATATATTAACTATTTAAAAGTATTTTATATCTTAATATGTTATGAGATATGGCTCCTCAATGTATGAGACATGGCACCTCTGGTCTCGAAGTCCAACTCCGGCTGAAAATTCATTTTTATTTTTCAACTATAGATGGAATAGAGAGGTTGGAAGACCTAACACAATAAAATACCTCCATATTCATAGTTACCGATCTCTGGGTGACTAAATGGAATCACTATGCGGAATGCTGATTGCCTACGCCTTTTTGTTCTTAGAGCTCTGTCGATCTGCGCTCCAAGGTCCAAAACAGCACCTCTACTATCCCGCCTAGCCAATCCCACATATTTTGAGACTGATTTCTTTCCAGTCTTCCTAGATCTTCCGTTCATTGGAAGAAACGCGGAACAAAGAATAAATAAAACACGAACAAGAAGAAGAAAGAACACACGGGTCCACTTTTTCATCAATGAGGATCCACTATTCTATTTCCTATCTCAGTTAGCAAACTGGCCTCTCTTGTCTTACCTTATTTTCTTTTATGAATTAAATAAATCGGAAGCACGTGCCCATATTGCCTCATCATAGGATACATTGACGCTCGTTAGGCACTTCAAATCTGCTCATCTAACTTTTCTCTGGGTCGAAGGGAAAACCCTGCAGTTCAGATTCGGTACCGGTTAAACCACCTCGATGAAGGGAGGTCAGGTAGGTACTTCTTTCTTACTGAAACCTTCATGGTAGATTAGTATTGGTAAAGATTTCGTGAATATATATTTTTTCCATTTTTATAGGCGGAGCGTTGATTTGGTCATATCATTAGGGGTGGCGTAAATGCAGGAATATTATTTAATAGGAAAAATATTTTTCTTCGTAATCATTGTGTTATTTATAAAATAACACAAATTACTAAAAACAAAAATTTATTTTAATAACAATTAACAGCAATATGTAAATAAGACTTCAGGAACAAATGAGGCTTTGTTAAAACCTTTTACACTACAAACACACAAGACACGTTTATGCCTCGACATAAACATCACACAATAACGAACGAAGGGCTATTCTCTGGTACTCCTGGGTAACCTCACCCAAGCCAACCTTCTTTGTTTTTAATAGCTGAACAGTGCTACCAGATAATATGCATTAACTCAACACATACAAATATTTTTTTGTATTTCAACTTTATTTTTATATATGATTATTAAAAAGAGTTGACCATTTTATTGCCCATGCAATATTTTTAAAAATTAAAATAACGACTTACGAATTAGTGCAAGCGATCAAAAGAATATAAAAAAAATCAAAATGTTAAAACAAATTCAGAATAGTATATATGACAATGTTTGGGTATCCATCCCCAAGTCTATTTTGAGGAAATTAAAATTCTTGAATGATGGAATGTATTTAGAAAACTTTTTTTTCTCTCCACGAATGGTAATTATTCATTTTCTGTTTTTAAAATCCTTTCATTCGTTCGTGTCCGAACAAGAGAAAGTAAAAGCTGTCAATGGCATACCAATAGACATTTTTTTTTTCCGAAGTACGCATGCCGTTGCATATAGTGTACTTATGCATATTCATTTGCCGTAAGTGGAATCCAGTGTGCGTTACTTCACTACAAATGTTGCAGTTTTTTAAGTTTTTTTTATTTAAAAGAAATAAATATGTTGGATTAATTGATCTGTTTCACATACCGATATTGGTAGAAAGGTATATTTTTATTTCGACATTGCTCAATAGCTTATCACAACACGAGATCCAATATTATCGTCATATTTCTATTTAGATCTTTATTTATTTAAGTAAGGGTATTTAAATACTTATATTTCGTAAACAGTATCCAAGTCATTGTTGCAGACTTTTCATTTTGGTTGGAGGGGAGGGGATGGACAGCAATAAACAAAGTCTTTTAAATCCCCACCCACACCTCCTGACCCGTGCAAACCCTGTATTAATTAATTAATTGTATTAATAATAACCCCGTATCAATAAAAAAAATGTTTATATTTCTTCAAATAACAATATTTAAATTTTGCTGACTTTTTTGGAAATTTTAATGATTTAAATATCTTGTACTTCCAATTTATTGTTAAATATCTTCTAAGCTACTATATATACTATATAACGGCTAAAAGTATTCGTAAGAAGTTGAGGAGCTCCACATTATTATAAATAAATTATTGCTCTTATTACTTATTCCTGTAAAAAATTCAAAACCTTACATATCATCCAAATCGACTTGCACGAACCCTATCCAGCTCTACCCATCTTTAGAATCCTCCTCGAAAGTTGAAGTGGCAGTGGACTTGAAACCTGTTGTAATGTTGGAGTTCTGGCAACAGCCAGATTCTCCACTGAAGCCATTTATGCCTGTTTATAGCGCCTCCGCCCGTCTCCACAGGTCCTTAATACAGTAATGCGACTGAGGCTGGGATCTCCTAGAGTCCTGCCTTTCCTTCCACGAGTGGAGGAAAAGGCTTTGTTTTTGGGGGTCCATTCCCCCTCCAACCAAAATGAAAATTCTGCACCTATGATTTGAATTCTTATAACAAAATATAAGTATTTAAATACTCTTACTTAAATAAATGTATTTAGGAATACAAGTTTTAACTATTGATTACAAGATCTAATTATTAAGCGACCAATTAAATGTCCCTAACCATAATATTTGCGCCTTGCATTAAAATCTAAACGTCAGTAATCAGTTAGTTGCTTTACATTGCTCTGATGACAGGCGATCTCGTACACGGAGATGATGACGACAACCAATAGGAACAAGCGGACGGCAATGATTTTCGACGCCGTCATGGAGCGGCTCCAGAAAGCCCTCGGGATCCAGCCCAACTCCGACAGCCCGCTCAACAAACTGCTCCTCAGGGTGGTCGACGGCATGGCGGTGTGGCTATCTTCCATCCCGGGGGAGAACAACTTCCAGAACATCTGTTCCGATCTCATGACCGTCTACTTCAATGTTCCTCTCCAGTGAGTAAGGCACTCCGAGTCTCAATTCTGACCTCGAGTCGAGGTATCTGTCGAAATGTTTTTATTTATAATTCTCTGAAATAAAATACATATGTCGCCTTGATCTGTATTTTTTCATATTATTTTAATTAATTAGACTTACAATTACCTTGGACGGTTCCTGAATTTGGCTCTGCAAAAAGAAAGTCAGATTGGAAAGAATCTTGTCCTACAAACTAAGCCACCTATTAACACCTTTATACAACAATGAGACCGGACATCTTTTATGATGCTTCAATTCTCGAAAATATATTACAAAAATGCATAGAAGCACCAACAGTTTCAATACGGTGTGCTGTAAATCAATATAACGTTATTATCAAATAAAGTTTCTTTTCGAAGAGACTACAATGCTAAACACCAACGATGGGGTTGTCGAACATCCAACTCCCGCGGTAACATCCTTTCACGTGTCTCATCTTCCAACAGTTATTCAATCCTCTCACCCATGAGTCCTACTTATTGGACAACATCACTCAAAAAACGTCCCGATATCCTGGATATATTTATCATCTCCCAGATTTCCTTCTCACAAACCCTAATCAAATCACTCGATGACCTTTATTCAGACCATAGTCCAGTACTGCTTTCACTACATTCAAGCTAAGCTCCTAAACCATCATCTCCTAAATTGATTACTGGACGAGTAAACTGGGACAAATTTCGTGATGACTTGGAAAACAAACTAGACTTAAAAATTTCGCTAAAGACAAAAGAAGACATTAATGATGCTATAGAAAAACTTACAACATCAATAACAGACAGTATAAACAGTAACACCTTTAACAGTAAGATTAACAATTACAAAAGACTAACTTGCCACAGCATATTCGTATCTTATTAAAGGAAAAACACAGAGCAATATCGAAGTGACATAGAACTAGATATCCAACAGATAAAACTCATTACATCCAACTGACTAACAAACTAAAATCAGAAATTAGAAAATCAAAAATTCAAAATTTACTAAATTATACTGAAAAACTTACACCTACCGACAAATCACTGTGGACGACGACTAAACGGCTCCTGAAATTTAAAGACTTTAATCATCCACTTCTTACTGAAGCTCAAACTTGGTCCAAATCTGATGAAGGAAAATCCTAAATTTTTGCTCATCACCTCTTCAAAACTTTTAATCCACATCCTGATATCCTTAATCCAAATCAGCTTGAATGTATTGAAACAGAACTGGATATTCCACTCCAAATGACTCCTCCTCCTAAAGCATTTCATCCTTCTGAAATACCCAATATTATTCACAGATTACCCTCCCGCAAAGCCATTCTATTCCTTAATTACATTTATAACGCCGTACTCCGTTCCACATATTTTCCTGACCTTTGGAAACTATCTGTAGTAAAAATGATACATAAACCCAAAAAGCCACCAGAATACCCATCCTCTTACGGTCCTATTTCTCTTTTACCCATCATGGGCAAAATCCTGGAGAAGCTCATCTTAAAACGCCTGTATCCCATCCTAGATTCTAACCACATAATCCCTGATCACCAATTTGGATTCCGCAAATCCCTTTCCACTATCCCAACCCATCCTAACACTGTCATGACACATGTATTCTGTCAGTTAATAATTGCAACAATTGCATCCCAAACTCTTCAATCACACATCACAAATCTTGAAGAATGGAGTCAAAACTGGAATATTAGAATAAATTCCAATAAATCCCACCAAATCACCTTTACCCTTCGTCGTAAACGCAAGGACTTGCTGCCCTATAGTATCCTTTTATACCACCCCACTTATCCCTGTAGTTATGGCGTTTTGACAAAAAAACACCTTTTAGAAATAATTAGTGTTACCCAGATGCGAGACCGATACGGGTCTTGGTCTTGCAAACTCAGGCTTGGTCATGGCCTTGGTCTTGAGCAAGAGTCTCGCAACAGTCTTGCAGTTACTTATTAGCTTATTACCATAGAGATATTACTGAATTTTTTTAGATAGGAGATACCTAACTAACCCCAAATAAAAAATTAGAGGAGTTAAATGTAAAAGTACATTGGTTATACCAATTAATATGATATAGTAACTAGGATTGTCAAGTATTAGTAATTATTTTGCCTTAATATTAATTTTAAAAATTGATTTTTTTTTATCAGTCCCCTGGTCTTGGTCTTACAACAGTTAGGCTTGGTCTTTTTTGGTCCAAAGACCGATTTTGAGCAACACTAAAAATAATATATAAAGATAAACTTAATATATAAAGATAACAGGTTTTAAGCCTTAACTTCATTATAATCAACCAATCAAGATGGTAGAATGCACATTGAATAGAGAAACGTTTATGAAGTGCCAAATCATGTCTCTAAATTTTAATCTTAATTTTCTTCTTTTTTTTTTTGGAACTTTTTTGGGAATCCTTGAAATTTTTACCACTTTAAGCCTCCGCTGGTCTTGACCCGCCCCTGAGAAGTGTTGATAATGTGAGTGTTCTCGCTCGAGAATACCAGTGAACATTTAGAAATGAAGTATCAATAAACCCACTATTGTAAACTACTTTCTAAAATATTAAAAATGCATACGATGCTCGGTTACGTGATGCGTTGAAAGCTATCCCCTACGATAGAAGCAACTTGAGGCTGCGGCGGTTGGAGAAATGCCTAGCGATAAATCAGAGTGAGCTGTTACATAAACTTTTTCTCAGAGGTCATCCATCCCGTTCTAGAAGTGTTGGCTTAGCGAGTCTTTTATGTGACCTTTCCTATTGAATTTGTTCTTCTACAAATCCGCAGGTTGCTTTCGGAATGAGAATCATCAAGATGACCATAGAGTTTGAGAGAAATGTAACTTTTTCTAAGAGATTAATTTTAGAAATTGATTATCTAACTATCTCTTATCTCAAACTATATATTTGACGATTGTCATAGACATTGATAAAAGCAATTAATTAATTTATTTATTCGATGCATCCACAAGACCGATTTCTCACAAGCGATTCAATGTTTTTATTTTCCACAGCCAGCATAACGATAACTTATTCTTTACTAATGATGAATATTGTAAATAGTATATATATATTTGAAAAAGTGGTATTTTTTTTTCATATTAAATATTTTATGAGGGGAATTTTACTGCTACATCTAATTGAATTTAGTGTTGAAAAATTGTATTTGAATTGGGTTGATATTAGACAATTTTTTAGGTATATAAGTAAGAATATTTTTTTCTTCCCAGTGATTTATGCTCCCATTTATTCCACCCAATTGCATCATTACATCATAACGTTTCGGGATCCACTTATATCCCATCTTCAGACAGTATCCCGCATCATCTTAATTATCTTTAAATAACTGAAAAAAATATCTGACTAGACTCTAACCAGAGGAGACTAAAATAGGATTTCTAGCAATAAGACAAAAATAAAACAATTTAATTAACATGACAAGTCTTATGGAGAATTAAGATCATGCGGGATACTGTCTGAAGATGGGATATAAGTGGATACCGAAACGTTATGATGTAATGATGTAATGGAGTGGAATAAATGATAGAATAAATCACTGGGAAGAAAAAATATTCTTACTTATATACCTAGAAAATAAGTATCTCCCTTAGGATAAATGAAGAAAATTTTTTTAAAAAACAAAATATGAAAATAAAAATCAGGTGCTGATTGATTTTAAAATTATATTCAAAACATTTGACTAGCAATAATAAAATAAACTTTGCTTAATAATATATACCCTTGAAAAAAAATTAATCGTAAGTTTTCTGAGTAACGTTTCATCACTTTTCAATACAAACTTGGCGAAAAATAAGAATTTAGTGATGGAATTCTGATGCCCTTTTTTATTTGTTTACATGCATGTCTTAATAATAGCTTTCCATTTGTTATATATATATTTTAATAATATTTCAACTCATAATAAAACTATGATAATAATAATAATGGAGAGAAAAAAGAATTCTATAATATATAAATTATTCATATTATATCTTTCTCGATTGTATATTGATAAATATTAAGTGTACTACAACAACCCAAAGTACTCGTGCAGTACTGCTTGTTATTAAAGTTTGTTGTTGTAAAATTGTTTTTGTTTTTTTTTATAAGAAAATCATATGTATACACCATATATATTTCTTTATTTATATCAGTGGCGATGCAGCAGAAAAAAAAGTGCAGGGAGCTCAATTTATGGATGGTATAATTTTCTATGATACAATCGAATTCATCTTTTAACGTACACTTGAACAACTAAACATATAGAAAAAAGGTGACCTTCAAAAATATTAAGCCAAATGGCGTGACCTAGACTCCAAAATCGTCAAAATAACGAGGTTATATAGGTGATATTATTATATTACGAACAAGTCAATATTTTTAAAGGCCACCTTTTTTCTCGACTTTATGCTCAAGTTATCTCACCATACAAGTGAAAAGTAAATGGGTATTTACGTGTTTTTAATATCTTATTAAAACGACAATGTTTGCAGTACTCAAGATTGAAAACACCCCAATTCCGAGAATTTTCGTAAATAAAATATTTGTAGGTAACGATGAGATGAAGATATTTATGAAATATCAGGCTAATGCTATTTATTTGATAAAAAAGAGTCTGTACCATGGACTAATAATTATTGTTAAATAAACAATAAATATAATATTTAAATATAAATCAAACAGGATTTAGAGATCTATTATTGATGAGGAAGGGGGACGCCTCACTTGACACTTCTACTATGAGAACAATTTGTTTTAATTTACTTAAAATATACAAGCCAGGATTTATACTATTATATGTTATGAATTAGCTTCTATTAAAGTGGATTGGATCATTAGAGTGCTTAGCTGAACGGCTTGCACAAGAACAGTTGCAATGCACCATTCTCACCTGCTCAATCATTGCAAGTTGTAATTTTATCTATATATAATGAATGATGATCTTGTTGAACGCCAACTTTTTATTTCCTTGTATCGTAACTTCCTCATTAATATAAACAGATTTTAAAAGAAAGATTATTTTATATATTGTTTTATAGAGCAAGTAATATCGCGCAGACTGACACTGCCATTCGACAGAAGAATGATATGGTCCCACA